TGTGTCGCTACATTGTAGTCTTCAAAAGGAACATATCAAAACAACTTGTACTTCAAAGCAACTCTTTCTTTTACGTTTACACCAAAAACATCTTTGGGTAAATAACGCTAAGAAAGGTGACGTCAATGACATTTGGGATGCTTTACACAAATACAACTTCCGAGACATCTTATTTGATTTTCTTAATTCTGGGAAATTTCCATCCAAACTTAGCTGGAAATATCTTGTAAAGAATGTCCTTCTGTGTAAAGAATCTGATGACTGGCGTTTACGCATAAACAGTGCGTTAGAATTTTATAAATTGGAAATTCTTCATTTTCTAAACGCCATCCAAATTTTAACAGGACATTTAAAACTTTCGCAAAAATGTGGTTTGCCTCTCCTACTTGTGAACTTTTATGTGCTCGATGTAAAGGCACTTTTGAAGACGCAGTCACCCATTGTTTACTTGACTGCAAAGAGCCCATATTAAAGTCTCTGCGAGATATTCTTTTCACTAGTTTTGTGGACATTTGACCAGGCGGACAGAGATGTCCAGATAGCGGCTCTGTTGGGTGCTCCCAGTGAGGACATTTATGAATCATTTTATGACGATTCATCTTTGTTAATATTTTTTATTAAAGATTGTCTCATGTTTTCTGAAAAGACCTACAATATGACGTTTCCATCTCATATCTAATGTTTGATGTGTTCTGTTAGAAATCTCCATTATTGATGGATTGGTTATTCACATTCATTGTTCAATATATATATACATATATTCTTGCACTTTTCTTTCTTTAATTTTCACCTACATTTATCATAATCATCATTGTAATTACTCTTCAATTTTTGGAGGAAATAAAGAAATAATGATGATGATGATGATGATGATGATGATGATGATATCAGCCTGTGATTGGTCAATTTTCAATCCTGGAACCAATCAGCTGACTTCGTTTATGCCTTACATTTTGCAACGGCATGCAGAGATACATGTACAGCTGTATGGTACAAACGGATTTGTCGAAGTGTTTAAAGAGGCGTTGAAGAATTTTACATCGGTTTCAAGACTTTTTTTAGAGATCTTTGATAATCATTCCTTGTCCATTTTCAGGCAACTACGAAATGTAACAAAAGATATTTAAGTGTACCCGGAAGTGAAATCACACTTTTCATTCCAGTTCGTAAAAACGGCATTTTATGATTGTATTTTCATCGTGAAATCCATTTGCTACAAACATGGAACTGTCTGTTATAAGGATTCCGCCATCACAATTTGATTCTCGCCTAATGTATTGTTCATATTCTGCTTCGGCATTTTTTACTTAATCTAACAGAAATTGTTTCAGTTTTAGATGGATCAATACAGTACAGTCACATGTAAAAATAATACTTGAATGACAATTCTTGAACAGATTAAAAGATAATACCATACATATCGCAGGATAGGCTCTCTCTCTACAATATCCACCGTTTAGTGAATCCATACAATATTTTCCTAAGCAAGAGTTTGAATGATAGAAATCGAACTGAACAATGGATTGATTGATTGATTGATTGAATTGAATTGAAATCAGCCTAACTGCTACATGTAAGTTAATTTGAAATCGGGGCGATTGGATCACTGAATGGTACATTTAAGTGCCATCACACTGAAATGCTACGACCTCGACGTGGTAGCATTACACTTGCATGATCACACTCATGCTTCCTCTCCTAATCCACTTTAAAATTTAATGTTAAGTACAATACAGCAAAAGCAAACACTGATGACTCGTCTCTTTGAGGAAGCAGAACACACTACCTTAATTTCCTCGAGTATCACGATTATGCCGACAGTCTGTTAGAAGGTTTCCAATGTGGAATTCAATCAATCTCGAGATTATGTTCTAAGGAACATGAGATATGGACCGGTCTGTGCTGCCGATGTTGTGTCCTTGGGAAAGACACCTTACCGCAATTGCTCTTGTGGCATGCGACCAATTTAAATAGCCACCAGCTACTATAACGAGACCCAGTCTCAAAATCATCCTAGTTGTTCACGGCCAGAAGAAAAAAAACGATAAAAAAAAAAAAAAAAAAACTTGTGGAAGCGCCGGATTCGGAAGCATGTCTCTAATATGTGGACGATCGCTGGCGATTAAAAATGTTGGGAGCATTGGGCATATATGGAAAATATTTGATAACTTAAGGATTATGATAATTTGTCTAACTTCGTCACCTACTTCGGCATAGTTTTTAACCGTATTAATTCATTTACCGCAGGAAAGAATCACAATATTGCAAGAAAGGAAGAAATGTAGACTTCAAAACCCTTCAGTCTACTATGTATTAAAGAAATATAGACTTCACCATCATTCTGTTTACTGTGTGTTAAAGAAAGGTAGATTTCACAACCATTCTGTTTATTGTGTGTTAAAGAAATATATACTTAATTACCATTCTGTCTACTGTGTGTTAAAGAAATATATACTTAATTACCATTCTGTCTACTGTGTGTTAAAGAAAGGTAGACAACATAACCATTCTGTTTACTGTGTGTTAAAGAAAGGCAGACAACATAACCCTCCTGTTTACTGTGTGTTAAAGAAAGGCAGACAACATAACCCTCCTGTGTACTGTGTGTTAAAGAAAGGCAGACAACATAACCATTCTGTTTACTGTGTGTTAAAGAAAGGTAGACTTCACAACCATTCTGTTTACTGTGTGTTAAAGAAAGGTAGACTTCACAACCATTCTGTCTACTGTGTGTTAAAGAAAGGTAGACAACATAACCCTCCTGTTTACTGTGTGTTAAAGAACGGTAGACAACATAACCCTTCTGTTTACTGTGTGTTAAAGAAAGGTAGACTACATAACCCTCCTGTTTACTGTGTGTTAAAGAAAGGTAGACTACATAACCCTCCTGTTTACTGTGTGTTAAAGAAATATATACTTAATTACCATTCTGTCTACTGTGTGTTAAAGAAAGGCAGACAACACAAACCATTCTGTCTACTGTGTGTTAAAGAAAGGTAGACTACATAACCCTCCTGTTTACTGTGTGTTAAAGAACGGTAGACAACATAAAAGAAAGGTAGACTACATAACCCTTCTGTCTACTGTGTGTTAAAGAAAGGTAGACTACATAACCCTCCTGTTTACTGTGTGTTAAAGAAAGGCAGACAACATAACCATTCTGTTTACTGTGTGTTAAAGAAAGGCAGACAACAAATGATGGTCATAAATGATTCTCAAAAGGAAATGGAATTGAATACAAATATTATACTTCTACGTCATACTGATAAATATGTAAAATTATACATCGGATTCTAAAGTAATGTGACATAGTTTGAACAGTTCAATAAGCTAAAGAGTGTACCTGCAATACTATTTGGCTGAAACATGTCATTTACAAATAAAAAGACCAATCAAATTTATACAGAAATTTGAGAGTGATTTTCATTCCCTATCAAAAGCTACTTTTTAAAGAATATTTCGTACTGTTTTATATTAAGTATACGTTGTCTTTTTACGCCCATTTACATAGATGTAGTTAAAAGAACAGAGATATGAAAAAAGATATATTTCATAATAAAATTCCAAGCTACAACTGTAGAAATTAACGATGAAACTAGATAAAAAGAAAACATTGTAACGTCATCAAATAAGTGATGAATTTCTCTACTTACTTGATTGTACATCACTTTGCCTGACTTTACAATACTATACACAAACAGATAGTTCCTTTTTGACACAAAACATGATTAATTAACACTACCAGTATAAAAATACAAAGCAAAAGTTGTACTTTTATAAAAAAAAAATCAATGCATTAATTTGGTACACCTGACTTTGAGCATTCCACAATGATTGTATACAATTTGAAAATGGGTTGTTTTACACTTTGGTCTGTGAGAGAGAAATTAATTGACTTGAGATGGATATACCTGTCTGTTCGTCCGAAGACAATTCATTACACTTGTATCATCGTCTATATGAGAAGTATTGATTTTCGTCATAACTCGACTGATTCCATTACTGCAGCGTGTAGCAGCACGATCGTACGGTAGAAGGGAGGTAACTCTAATAGTTTCTGTGAAATTTTTCAATATCTTATATTTACACGTCTCCATATGAAACTTACAAACCGCACTTTATACATTTATTGAAATATCTATGCCTTGCGATTTGGCGTCAGCATGAGTATAATAAATCACAATATTTGCGTATATCGCTAAATTTTATACATTTGTTGTGTCATGATCTTTAAAGACAAAATACATAGTACAATAGTATATGTTTATTCATCTTTATCTAGGCGGAAACTTCTATACAAAGAATCTAATCTAACTAAAATGCATTTACTGTTTCCATAATGCAGGGGCTAACCAATTATACTGAGGCTATCAGGTACCGGTCATAAATACCGAGACTGTCTGAGATTGAGACAGCCAGGGTTATGGCCAAATACTATCCCATTAACTGTTAGTCTGATAACACTACAACATCAACGGTGATTTCACATTATGTTTATATCTATATATACAAGTTGTAAATTAAAACAACAATTTAATCATTTGTCGGAACAGTCATAGCGGCGTCATGATGGTTTATGCCACCTGCAAGTACTTTTTCCGGTACCATCGGAACATCCCGGCCGATCCTATCGGAACACCCCGGCCGATCGTCATGAAGTCATCTTTGATGGAAGGTAATATAATTGCTTCAGTATAATATAAAACTAGAAACGAACGCACCCAGAGCATTGTCTTCACTTTCTTTTCTTGCCCCACATTGGCTACAGTGAGTAAAAGGGACAAGTTCGAGCTCTCCTCCGGGTAATAATTTTTGGAAGACAACGTCGATTAAGCCATGACATATGCGTGTAAGTCGTTTATAGATTTCTTGGGCAACAGACAAGTGAATGACTGATCAACTTCTGCAGTTTTATAAAATCTCTGACATTATCACTCGTGAGCTGTTTATATCTTGTTTAATACTTGTAATAACCAACAACAAAAAACTATGTCCGAATATTTTTATTAAACATAAAAATCCCTTTTACACAACACAAATGAATAATCAATTTGACAAAATGAGACATCCATTAAATTTTAAATTACAAACTGTTGAACTATGTGTTGAAATCGGATTGTTCTGGAGTTTTAACATTTCGTTTTACGGTTTTTTTTGTTCTATAGTGTTGGGAATTCATAAGCTGAAACGAAATTAATGACAAGAACTGATATTATAAACACACTATTAAATATCTGTATTAAAACCTTACATTTCATGTGGACAAAGGACGTCACGTGACGTGTCCTCTCAGCCATTAAATTTCTGTTGGAAATAAGAATAATATTTCTATATCATTAACATTAAAAGATCGTTTGAAATTACCTCGAGACGATGTATATATCTCCGAAAATCTGAGTGATAAAATCATCATGAAAAAAGCTCTACAATAATATAAGTTGAACAGTCAATTTATACACATTTTCTAACTTTTTCGACTCTGACAGAAAATCACTTCTTATTTCACGGTTTATTTTACATGTATGTTCATTGTCATTGTAAGATACGATACGAAATGAGTTGTTCCGAATGTGTCACTGATATTTCGTTTGAACTAGCTGACCTCAAACTACAAAATAAAAAGTAAATTCTTTAATCAGCACTCCTAATATGGTGTGTTTAGTTAAATATGGTGTTTTAGTTAAATATAAATGGTGACGAAATTGTCTTGCTATGTGTAACAGATGGTGATAACTCTATAGAAGCCAAAATCAAATTGGACCTCGCCTGCCTATAAAAATTTGCCGCATGCTGTTAAATTCTTCACCATATATAAAGTGTTTGGACACGCACAATTACAAACAAATTTTATGTAAATGAAAAATAAAAGTAATATTATTGAAAATGTATCATTCGAACAACAATCCCCAGCAATTATAAACAACTAAGAGTGCCTTTTAAGCCAAAAGTTGATATTAACATATGATTAAATGCATAAAAGATTTCATCTTATCAACCTCCAGATCAATATTGGTGCGGAAATTTCCTGATCAAATCGTTTTAAAAAAAACATCGTTCATAGATAAGTTGTTATCACCCAAAAAAAAAAGATGTAAACGTCATACACCAATCAGTTAATGTATTTCAAAGTGTTTTCTGGTTATGTTAATCATGAAAGGCAGAAATGAATCTCGTCTTCAAATATCTTAAATGAAAGTGTAGCATAACACCTTAACACTGACAAAAATAAGTGGATGAAGCATGCACTTTAATTCTAACACAGAATTTAGATGAAAAAGAATAATAACATATACTGACCCGATTCATATCTGAAAGCAGTAAATATGAAATACAGGGTCTCAGTAAAGTTGATTTTCAAAACTCATTTATATACAGATAATAGAGGTTTTATATATTTACATATCAAATAAGCAATTCGCTTTCTTACTAACTGTTCTTCCAAACACAAGACACCTTCAAACTATGAACTCAGCGAAAAGCTTAAAAAACGTAATTAATTAAACAAACAGGAGTTGCCCTTCAAGTGTCAATTCTTATTACTTATATCAGCTTTCAAGGCAAACGTTTGCCTCAGGTTACGTGCCAGGCGATTTTGAAACCAACTCCAGACACCACATTGTTTAATTCAATGACACCAAAATGGCGACAAAGCTACTTCCGCTTTACGTATCTGCCTTTTTGAGTTCCTCATCCAGATCGGTTCCCGGTTCCAGCGGATCCGCCCCTTCATTCAGCAGTGCATCCGGCACATATTCTGATAAACACAGAGAAATGTAAATCATACAGCGAAACATCCAATAGTATTCTTAATACGAGATGAAACATAATTTAACAAAATGATTATACAGTTTAAAAAAAATGAATCTAATTTTCTTCCTGAACAATTATAAGAAAGTTCTTGTTTGTTTGCTTGTACAGATGTATATGGTATACAAAACTGTAACATATCATACATTAGGTTTACACGTAGAGAGTATCCGTTACAGATACAAAGGTGTTAAACTAAGACAGAAAGCGTTACACCGGTACAAAGTTTAACATTTAGAAATAAACTGTTCCACGGAGACGAGGATTTACACTTTAACACTAACCATTACACCAGTACAAAGTTTTACACTTATATACCAGCTACTACAACAATACAAGGTTTTACACTCTGATACAAAGCACTACTCTGGAACAAAGCTTTACACGCAGAAAAGTTAACCCGATACAAAGGTTTACACCAAGAAATAGATTGTTACACCGGGATAAGGGTTTACACTTAGATACTAACCGTTACATCGGTACACCAGGTCAGACCAGATGACCATTTCCTGTGAGAAACAGAACACTCCAAGCTTGCCACCACGCAAGGTGTTGTCGAATATATTTCCGGAGTCGGCTACCAAACTCGCCTCCTCGAAGAACAACACCCTGTAAAGAACAACAAATAATGTGAAACTGATGGTAAACAAGGTTTACTTTTGCACTGTCATTGTCGGAATACACCTTCCACATATATTTTTGCTGCATTCGGCAGTGACGGAAAAGAGCTGTATTTTAGCACGTGCGGTAAATCGACAGTTTTACTCTCTGAATTCATATAAATATTAAGTTTAGAAATAAATAGTTGATGAAATAAGCGATTCTACATGTTGTAATGAACAAGTTGTTCTATGAATATTCATAAAATCAATGTAATATCCGATGAAGTTTGGAACTATATTTCCGTGCGGAGCAATCACGTTGGCGTCGGTCATCAGGCAAGATTCAGCTTAAGTTTGGGTAAACACTGATTGACACTGATCATGTACTTTCTGTCTAGTTTCTTAAAAGTTAGATTGATTCTTGTTTTGATAGATAACGTCCTACATATTGCGGAAATCATCTGACGTGAGCGACTAAACATACGATAATTGGCGGATTCATTCGACTTAAGCTACGACAGTTACCGTATAAGTCCAATTTCCGGACGATGGATGAGCTCCCAGCGGTAGGCAGTTTTTTCCTTCCATCCAATGTTACGGGGATCAACCCACAGGAGTTTTGTCTGTAAAAAAAGACATTAAACCGTATAAAATAATGTACACAAATTGTACAAATAAATGAAAATAAAAATAATGTTTGTACACAAATCGAACATATTGATTGGCGGTAATTTGATTCACGTTGTTACATGAATAAAGCAATGTTTGTTTAGAAATAAAATGTCCATCTTATGAGAGTTTCATGTGTATGAATCATACCCGCGACTGACGGCATTTAACTTATTTTCGGATCGGATCCGTTGTATACAGAATTACATAAGTAGAAATTGTAACTGAAAACATGTTACAGTTATATGTTTACAGATAACGAGATGTCCTATAACACTGATGTTCTTACAAATGTAAAACATTCCATATTCATCCCTTTTGTTCTACAACTGAAAAGACATGCAGTTTTACATTAATCTATGACATTTTCAACTCACAAAGGTGCCTTCATTATCGGACTCGTAGGACAATAACAAAATTAATGTGTTAGAATTATTGTTTTACATTTTGTCTTCAAAACGACTTTCATTCCGCTGATACCGATCGCAGAGCATAGCATGTGGGCTAACATATCTGTATGTGAAATCTATATATAAACGCAAAATGTAAATACCAGCTGTGTAATTGATCTAAAAAAAGTCAAACAAGTGAATGGTCCTACCGATAGAGTGGGTGAATATATCCCATCACTCATGTGTAATGTAGACAGAAAACAACTGTATTTAGATAATTTTTAAGAGTAGCTTGGGAACTTGGAAATATTATCCTGAAGATCCAGATAAGTAGAGTTATTGACTATTCAGTTATATAAGTACCTGGTTTGTTGTATCGCCAGTGTGCCAGAGTGCATTACGTAGAAATTCGCCCGGCCCCGTCACCGATTTGACAAGTTTGAGTTGTATTCCTGGCTCCGCTACCGCCCTGAATGGGGTTGGGTGCCAGTAAGTCTGGGTAGCTTTCTTCCACATGACAACATAGAAGTGGGCGTTGTCTTGGTAACTGAATATAAATCCGGCATAATCATCGTCTACTTCCGAGTTGATAAAAAACGTTCCACTGAAGTCGACCCCACTAAATTTTGTGTAACCTGTGACACGGAATTTCAACATTTTATATGACAAATTCATTTTCGACAATAAAAAAAATGAAACAATGCTCAATCTTTGTTTAACACAGACGACATATTCAGTGACCAAATAATTTCTGTTTTTGATGACAACTACTGAATGTTGCCTTCATTCCTTACGCTACCAGCTACTTTGAGCAAATTCAAGCAAAGGACAGGTGTGTTTGTGAGAGAGACAGAGAAATGTACTCTGAGCTGGAATCGAATTTCGAGAAATCTGCTAAAGAATGGAACCTTATTTGCAAAAGAGACCATGGCTCATTTGTAGATCAAATGAGGTACAAGTAACATGTAGTAGAGTTTTTCGGTATTACAATCATTTAAAGGCAATCAGTCATATGAGGGGTTGATGTCAAGAGGGACAGCATAATTAGATGATACAATGGAATAAAGAAGACTATATTTGTGAGGTCCCCCGATGTCTTCTTCAGAAAAAAGCACCCCTATAGAAACATTAAAGATAGCACCCCCTTAAAGGGAAGACATGAAAGAAAGCATTGCCTTAAACGGAAGACATGAAAAAAAGCATTCCCTTAAAAAGAAGACATTGAAGAAAGCACTCCCTTAAAGGGAAGAGATTGAAAAAAAAAACACTTCCATAAAGAGAAGTCATTAACGAAAGCACTCCCTTAAAGAGAAGAGATTGAAGGGACCACCCCCTTAAAGAGAAGACATGAAAGAAAGCACTCCCTCAAAGAGAAGACATTAAAAAAAAGCATACCCTGAAAGAGAAGACATGAAATAACACCCCGATTTGCAATGGATGCACTACAATTAGGCACGTCTTACGGCATGTGGTTAGATAAAGCAAATCTACCATTTCCCCGTAAAATCTAAGGAATTTAAAACTATACAAAAAACACACACTAACAAGTGAATCACGCTTTTCAATATTTAGAATTAAATTGAGTAAAGACAAATATTGCTTCATCGTTCATTTAATTTGTCTTGTAAAGTTCTAGCACTCCTTATTGAAGCTTAGGACCTAAATTTGTAAACATCGAAGTGACAACAAACACTTTATCATTGAACAATTGTACAGAAGAAGAAGACTTACTGACGGCTATCCCAGGGTCGCTGTTCATGGTCTGAACAATCTCTGCTCCCTGGAGACAAAATTACATCAAATATAAAACAAGGAAAGATTTAATTTGACTTTTATCATGTTTATAATGTTAGATAGACATTGTTACTGTAACAGTCAAACTAAAATGGCTCGTCAACGGCTGAATCGGTTACCGGGGTCGTAAATCAACAAATGCTTAACTTATGATTCATTGTCTTTTCGATCAATCACAAATTGTTCATCAAAACTTGGTCAATCATCGAAACCATTTATTACTTGATACTATCATTTCACTGCTTGAGCTTGACAAAGTCAGGATAATACTATTATCCGAATTCGAACCCAGACATTTCAAGGTCAAACGTTTAACTCAGTATTTTGTTTACTGAACCTCGATTCAACCCGGATTTGAAATCCAAATGCCATGCACAATGCATGATCCTACCTCATTGAGGATCACCCAGTTGGGGTCTATCTGTGAGTCTCCCACGGGGTCCAATATGATAGTGTGGAAGGCCCGGAAGTCGGTTGAATGGATCTCTCCGTTGTCAGGGCAGACATCTTCTGCATCCGGGTATCCGTCTCCGTCACTATCTTCCATACACGCGTCACCAATAAAATCGTCTAATTTGTGAAAACAAACAATTATGATAATCTTGATGAATTTTTGCAAGTTTTGGCACTAATCCAACATATACTCGGCGCCAATGAAAGCGCAACACTAAAATTTTGGACATAAAATATTCTTCACAACAAGGATTAGATTCTTATTCTGCTGTATTTAGCCACAACACAATGCACTACAAAACTAACGAAATAATGGTCGAGTAATATCAACTCCTTGTCGTACCACAGGGCATTGTCGTAAAAGCATGAGTTTGCACGTCGGCGCTCTAAAGTGCGTTATATCCTTGCTCAGTCACTACTAGTGAACACTGTAGTTACAGGCGGACATTTTTCCGTCATCAATTTTTTAAATTGTCATCATCATTTGCTACAAATGCCTCGACTGACAGACAATGAAAGACACGAAGCTCGTGGTATGCTGGCAAGAGGGCTTTCTCAGAGGGAAGTTGCCAGGAGAATGGGTTGTTCTGCTTCCACAATCAATCGACTGGCAGAACGAGTGCGACAAACCGGATCCGTGAGAGATCGACCTCGTCAAACCAAACCAGGACCGTTACATTCGACTAAGTCACCTGCGAGATCGTTTTCAAACCGCGACAAGAACGGCTAGACAGACGATAGGAAGTCATGGCAGACGTTTGTCAGCTAGTACTGTGCGCCGTCGCCTTCGCCTTCGCACAGCCGGATTGGCGTCGCGCCGTCTATTAAGAGGAAATGAATTTACTCAAATCCGCCGTCAAAATCGTCTAAATTGGACAAGACAGCGCCGAGGATGGACCCAACGTCGGTGGGCTGGCGTCCTGTTCACCGACGAATCGAGATTCCGCCTCAGAGGAAATGACGGTAGAATTCGAGTGTGGCGACGTCGAGGTGAAAGGTTTTTGGACTGCTGTGTAACGGAAACGGATAGGTGTGGCGGGGGCAGTGTGATGGTGTGGGGAGGTATCTCTTTTGCATACCGTACCCCTCTAGTAATTATTGACGGCAATCTAACAGCACAGCGCTACATTGACGAGGTCTTAACTCCTGCTGTTATTCCATTCTTTGCTGGACACCCAAACGTAGCGTTATTACAACAGGACAATGCACAACCACATACCGCTCGTATCACTACAGACTACCTTCAACATCAGAACATCGCAACCCTTCCGTGGCCCGCGTTTTCCCCGGATCTTAGTCCGATCGAGCATCTTTGGGACCAATTGGGTAGGGCTGTGAGAGAGCGACCACAACAGACCCAGACGCGTCGGCAGCTTGAAATCGCTCTTCAGGAAGAGTGGAGGAACATTCCTCAAATAAAAATTCAACGCCTTATTCGGTCAATGCCTCGAAGATGCCGCGCTTGTGTCGCTGCAAATGGTGGCCACATTAGATATTGAACGTGGTAATTTTGATTTTGGGGGTATGGACATTAGTCACCGGAAATCAAAGTATTCCCATGATGTAGTGCTGATTGCATTGAGTGAATTTTGTTATGGACATAATCAACGTTTAGGTATTTTATTAAATATTGTATTCAAAACTATAACTGGTAAATTTTGACAGTAATTTAAAGGTGTTGCGTTTTCATTGACGCCGAGTATATATCTATTGTGGTGATGGGTATGGAGCTTTTCAATGCAATTCCGCGTGCAGTTTGGAATTCATAGACATGAGACATATGTTCTTGGTCTATGAATACATAATAAAATATAGGGACATGTACACACCAAGAGGTTTCTAAGGAGGGTCGCCATGATATGACGACATCATCATGCATGATGATGTCCACGTGATATGTTTGGAGTCTACCACACATTCAATGTTTATTTTAGAATTTCAACAAGAATTGCCATAAGTTCCATTCATGGTAAAACATCTTCTTCAGAAAACTGAACCCGACCTTTGGTGTATTATAATTTCTAAAAATGTGTCATGTCACAATTAAACACAGTAGATAAAACATTTATAAATGCTTCAGAAATGAAAAATAGATAGTCACGTGATATCAAATGAGGATAAAGTTACAATGCCAATACATGGCAGCTGACGATAACATGTACACAATACTCATCTATCTCTGAATCAATGAAACAATATATATAATTACTCGGAAGCACGCGCTGTTTACGATTTACATAAAAGGTTACCATCAAAATCAGCTTGGTCGGAATTGGCCACCAGGGGGCAGTTGTCGTCCTCATCTAGTACGCCATCATTGTCGTCATCATTGTCACACGCATTTCCTGTACATATCAAATTAAGCATACAATACATGAAATTAATTCAGCTTTTATTTTAAGCACGTAAAAAGACAATGTTGAACATAACTTCACTAATAGTTTAGTTGCATTTTTTTTAAAAAAATACATACATTTCTAACTGATCATTCGTATATACTATTGTTAAATTTTATAATCTAGCTAATTTACATTATAGACGGAAATATCACAAGGAAATTCGGGATTTGCTGCAGTTTAAATGAATGCCACCGGAACGTGACGGTAATTTCTCCGCACGAATAAATATCCGTTAAGTAAGAGACAATATGCCTTAATCTTTCAGAAGTTGAACTTTAAGAATGTGGGTCAACAAACCTTCAGATCTCGTCAATGAATTCGTAGTACCAATGGTCACATGATTTACATTTGACACACATGACTTACCCATGCCGTCTTTGTCCGTGTCTGCCTGATCAGAGTTAGCTACATCCGGGCAGTTATCGTCTGTATTCTGTACACCATCCTGGTCACTGGAAAGCATACATTGTTTACAGCTGTATTCCAGAGAGTCTATTACAGTTAGCCTAAGTAATGCTGACACACAAATCTACAGTACATATATGTAACATTTCAATTGTGACCACTGTTACTGTTTGCGGCCACCAATGAAAAGGCCAAATCGAAAATGGAGTGCGTTACATTGAGTGCAGGCTTACGGCATCTATAATACTATGTATATCTTACCCTCGTTAAAACCTCTTGTGATGATGGACATCTTGTATGTCTATTTCTATAATATAACGAATCCATTGCACTATAAGAAATATACGATACAGGATCTTAGTACATTACGATGACGACAGTGATGTTAGCATCCTTATCGGACCTTCCGAAGAGTTAATCGGACTACTCCGTTAATAAGGAACAAATTACCAGACTAACAGAGCCAATGCCTATTTCCTCTATCACAGTATCAGATCGGTCGGCTTTTGATATAAACTTACTCATCGTCGTTAGAATCACAAAGGTCGCCGATGAGGTCGTTGTCAGAATCAATCTGAAATGATGATACATACAGCGTCATTGTTGTTTGATTTGTTTGTTTGTTGGGTTCATCGCCCCATGAGCAGACAGTATCATTCTGGGTGTAATGGCTGATGGCTACCTTACTGAACAACACACGAGAGGCCGTCGCATGCCATCCATGGTAAAATGTTTTGTTTAAAGACACAACCACGTCGGCACCGACTGGACCGTTTCTCAGCTTCCTGAGAAACATAATCCACATCCAGTTGGGAGCATTGAACCACACACCTGGGATCTTCAACTGAGGTAATGTGGGCGAACTCTCTAACCGACTAAGCAATCCCGATCATGTGACAACAGTCGAAAAAGTAATGGTCAGTACAAAGAAAGACAAAGGACTATCTATGGTTCGGGTAATTTTTGGCTCCAAATTTCACAAATTTGAAACCACGGGCCATGCCTGAGATGACTCTTTAATTTCTGTTTCTATAATTTTGAACACTTGCCTGGCACTATTATGAAAAAAAAAAAAATATATTTGTCTTTCCTTGCATTCAAATATTCATACAATTTTGTCAATTTCTGACAGATTTTCTCGCAGAAACTTGAAAGCAAACTAGAGAGCGAAGTTCATATCAAATGTAAATATGACGAAGGTTTTGTCTGTCCGATTCCAGGAAGTGACATACCTGACCTGGGTTAGGGACGGATGGACAATTGTCACAAGCATCTCCGTACTGATCTCCATCACTATCCAGCTGGTCGGGATTGACTTCATACTCACAGTTGTCTTCATTGTTGAAAACCCCTGTCATACACAAAATAAGAAAAATAATGAAATATTTGATTAAGGTTAACAGCTGACGTCATTTGAAAAGACTTCCTAGGACGATGGAACCACCACATATTTATGCTATTCACATTGTTCCAAGGTGCTATAACATGCACACTGTAACAAGACACCCCGTCCGATCGCATGCACGGACAGTGGACATTTAGAGCTGGAAATGAAGCCGACAGCAGGCAGTCTTGCTCAAAGAATAGAATACACGACATCATTTCCTAGGGGAGTACTTACGGCAAAACTGGCAAAAACGAGATGTTTTAAAGTGAATCATTGATAAAATTAGGAAAATAAGAACAGACAAGCATCCATATTATCTACCTCTTATCTCACGAACTAGCAATGGGCGGGGGTAATAGGTACAATTTTACATGTAGGGTTGACAAAATCCCAAACATTTATATGTTACTATATATAAGATATAAACTCCGCAACAAGTTTTTAACTTATATTAATCACTCTTGTTGGTCCGGGAGCGCGTGAGAAAACCCATGAGCTCGGGTAGCTGACCCCATGCCTTTTCACGTCCGTTGCGGGTGAAAAGCAAGTGTGTTACCTGGTGCTACATTTTCTATCGATAGATAACTCCCCATACAGCTGTAAAGGTAATTCAAAATGACTTGAAAGAACTTTAAGAATTACGATGCAAAACATTTATGCAAACTTTTCAAGCGAAAAATTAAGAAAACTAAAGATAGAAAATAAGTTTTTGGTGGTCAACCTTTCTGAAAACACGTTAAAGACCCCGCGTTATTGTAATAGAATATGATGACGTTGAATACCATCGTTGTCCTTGTCTGGGTCACACATGTCACCAATTCCGTCCTCATCAGTGTCCTTTTGGTCGGGATTTGGAACTCGCGGACAATTGTCGCAAGCATCACCTTGTATGTCAGAGGTGTCATCATCAGCCTGACTGGGGTTTGCAACATACGGGCAGTTATCCTGCGAACCGATAAAGTCAAGGTCATACACGATCAAATTAAGTGTCTTAATGTACTTGGTTAAAGTTGCCTTCAAAAACGTTTCAGCTCTCGTGTTAAAAATTTTCGCTTCATACTAGGAACATGTTGAAGTTTCAAGACGTGTACATTGTAAATATGATTTGCATTACATAGACATATCGTGTGTCTGCTTTCTGTCCTCCAATGATGAAAGAAGAGAGTTTTTTAAATATGTTCCCTCAAGAACACAAACACTCAGGATTATATAAGTCAAAATCTGTTTTCATAAAACCAGAAAAAAACCGATGTCCTACACGTATCTTACTTAACTCTACGACATATTGACCAGCTCTTCCATAACACTCGGACAAATGAAAACAACCGTAATGACCAAATCTCTAACAGCATTTACACCAACCTCTACCACTTAAATAGCATAGACCCCAATCTTTCCAGATACATCCCTGATATATCCAAATCTTAAAATGACAGCTTAAACTACTGAATTGTATAAATCACTACAAAACCACACACCGTGTCGAAAGTTATGGAAATATAGTCAAATACTGTAAGGAAAATGTAACCCCTATTCTTTGTGCTTTACAGCAAATACTCCATTCTGAAACTGCTCTTTTAGGCGGGAATTAAGCTCAGTTTTAACCGCTGTAAAATATAGAGATAAACCACCTAATCTCTCTTACTAACATATGCTGCATAATCCTTCAGAATTTTAGAAGCAAGAATTTGAACAATTTTGACACAAAACTATTTATGATCTACGACATAGCTTCACCTCGGTTCCCTCTTGTGTTTTTTACTCGAGACCTGGCAAAAACAAATGAGCATTCGACAATGTTTATCACTAATATATTCAGCATAAATTACACGAATGTATGTCAACAAAAGTAATTCTCTGAACGTGGTTCTTTATCCAATGAAAATCCAATTCGTAAATATAGAAGATCGAAACATTGTTTCTCCTACCTCAGGTGTCCCAAAGGTACCATTTTCGGCTATATTCTATTTAATCTAAAAAAAACTTATATGTCAAGAACGAGGATTGATAGCAACACACTCGTGAAGTTATATATGCTGACGTAATTATGACGTCATTGTAACATCTACCGGAGAATTGATGATGCCATCGTTGTCGATATCAACGTCGCACGCATCGCCAATACCGTCAGAGTCCGTGTCCTCCTGACCGCTATTTGGGATATCTGGACAATTGTCCTGCAATAATTGAAAGTGTCCCACTATTAATTTCACTCATATCAAATGCATACACGACTCTCTCTGTTTGTGACATTGTTTTTATCATAACGTTTTTACATCTCTAAATAAAAAAATATTTAATGTACCGTTGTATGTTTTTAACATCTTCATCGTTATTTATTTGAACATGCTACTAAACTTGTTGTGACGTCATCAACACACTTACACACTTGGTTTTAAGCATAATAAAATCAATGACAAACTTGCGGGCGTCGGAGCGACTCGAATCTCTCCCCCCCCCCCCCCCCCCCCCCCCCCTCAAAACCAACTCCAAAAACCAAGGAGAATTTGAGAACTTTTTTACTTTTCTAATTCTCTCTGGGGTTAACCAAGGCTATTAAATATTGGTCTTACTGTGCAGACAGAATAATGGATTGTTGGACTCTGTTAACACTACATACCTCCGATCATAAAATGACAAGGGCAATATTTTGATCATCTGATAAAACAGAGATTGACAACAATTTCCATTATGTGGTAGAAAAAAATAATAATGTATTAAATTCAATTTCGTACGAGATTCAGAAAAGCCGTTACAATTCCTGTTTCATATAACTCACAAAGTGTTCTCTAAAATCGGAAAGGCCTGGGACCTGTTTCGTGAATAACAAATCATTGTACGTGTAGAATCACATTAAATACTTGACATCATGTAATTATACACACACTATTTTGTATTTCAGTATCGCGAAAATGAGAGAAAATGTTATTAAAAACCATATTGATGAAGAAATATGTGGATCAATCAGACTTGCCTTCTTACACCTGGCGCTGGTACAATCTATTGTGTCGTCAGGCCAGCTGTCAACATCTGAATCCTTCCCGCATACAAATCCGTTACCGGCATAACCGATACTGCACTGTAACAACAATAACACACTTCTATTTCACCTAAACATCACACCACCGTGTCACCTTCTACACCATATTGTACAGTAACGACAAAACAGCACCGTGTCACCTTCTACACGGTACTGTACAGTAACGACAACACGGTACCGTGTCACCTTCTACACCGTACTGTACAGTAACGACAACACAGTACCGTGTCACCTTCTACACGGTACTGTACAGTAACGACAACGACACAGTATCGTGTCACCTTCTACACCATACTGTATAGTAACGACAAAACAGTACCGTGTCACCTTCTACACCGTACTGTACAGTAACGACAAAACAGCACCGTGTCACCTTCTACACCGTACTGTACAGTAACGACAAAACAGTACCGTGTCACCTTCTACACGGTACTGTACAGTAACGACAACGACACAGTATCGTGTCACCTTCTACACCGTACTGTACAGTAACGACAATAAAGTACCGTGTCACCTTCTACACCATACTGTATAGTAACGACAACACTGTACCGTGTCACCTTCTACACCGTACTGTACAGTAACGACAAAACAGCACCGTGTCACCTTCTACACGGTACTGTACAGTAACGACAAAACAGCACCGTGTCACCTTCTACACCGTACTGTACAGTAACGACAAAACAGCACCGTGTCACCTTCTACACGGTACTGTACAGTAACGACAAAACAGTACCGTGTCACCTTCTACACCATACTGTATAGTAACGACAAAACAGTACCGTGTCACCTTCTACACCGTACTGTACAGTAACGAAAAAAAAACCCGTGTCACCTTCTACACGGTACTGTACAGTAACGACAACACAGTACCGTGTCACCTTCTACACCATACTGTATAGTAACGACAAAACAGTACCGTGTCACCTTCTACACCGTACTGTACAGTAACGACAAAACAGCACCGTGTCACCTTCTACACGGTACTGTACAGTAACGACAAAACAGTACCGTGTCACCTTCTACACCGTACTGTACAGTAACGACAACACAGTACCGTGTCACCTTGTCCCAGTACTGTACAGTAACGACAACACAGTACCGTGTCACCTTCTGCGCCATACTGTACAGTAACGACAACACAGTACCGTGTCACCTTCTACACCATACTGTACAGTAACAACAACGACACTGTACCGTGTCACCTTCTACACCATACTGTATAGTAACGACAACACAGTACCGTGTCACCTTCTACACCATACTGTACAGTAACAACAACACAGTACCGTGTCACCTTTTACACCGTACTGTACAGTAACGACAACACAGTACCGTGTCACCTTTTACACCGTACTGTACAGTAACGACAACGACACTGTACCGTGTCACCTTCTACACCATACTGTACAGTAACGACAACACAGTACCGTGTCACCTTCTACACCGTACTATACAGTAACGACAACGACACAGTACCGTGTCACCTTCTACACCGTATTGTACAGTAACGACAAAACAGTACCGTGTCACCTTCTATACCATACTATACAGTAACGACAAAACAGTACCGTGTCACCTTCTACACCATACTGTACAGTAACGACAACGACACATTACCGTGTCACCTTCTACACGGTACTGTACAGTAACGACAACGACACAGTATCGTGTCACCTTCTACACCATACTGTATAGTAACGACAAAACAGTACCGTGTCACCTTCTACACCGTACTGTACAGTAACGACAAAACAGCACCGTGTCACATTCTACACCGTACTGTACAGTAACGACAAAACAGTACCGTGTCACCTTCTACACGGTACTGTACAGTAACGACAACGACACAGTATCGTGTCACCTTCTACACCGTACTGTACAGTAACGACAATAAAGTACCGTGTCACCTTCTACACCATACTGTATAGTAACGACAACACTGTACCGTGTCACCTTCTACACCGTACTGTACAGTAACGACAAAACAGCACCGTGTCACCTTCTACACGGTACTGTACAGTAACGACAAAACAGCACCGTGTCACCTTCTACACCGTACTGTACAGTAACGACAAAACAGCACCGTGTCACCTTCTACACGGTACTGTACAGTAACGACAAAACAGTACCGTGTCACCTTCTACACCATACTGTATAGTAACGACAAAACAGTACCGTGTCACCTTCTACACCGTACTGTACAGTAACGACAAAACATCACCGTGTCACCTTCTACACGGTACTGTACAGTAACGACAACACAGTACCGTGTCACCTTCTACACCATACTGTATAGTAACGACAAAACAGTACCGTGTCACCTTCTACACCGTACTGTACAGTAACGACAAAACAGCACCGTGTCACCTTCTACACGGTACTGTACAGTAACGACAAAACAGTACCGTGTCACCTTCTACACCGTACTGTACAGTAACGACAACACAGTACCGTGTCACCTTGTCCCAGTACTGTACAGTAACGACAACACAGTACCGTGTCACCTTCTGCGCCATACTGTACAGTAACGACAACACAGTACCGTGTCACCTTCTACACCATACTGTACAGTAACAACAACGACACTGTACCGTGTCACCTTCTACACCATACTGTATAGTAACGACAACACAGTACCGTGTCACCTTCTACACCATACTGTACAGTAACAACAACACAGTACCGTGTCACCTTTTACACCGTACTGTACAGTAACGACAACACAGTACCGTGTCACCTTTTACACCGTACTGTACAGTAACGACAACGACACTGTACCGTGTCACCTTCTACACCATACTGTACAGTAACGACAACACAGTACCGTGTCACCTTCTACACCGTACTATACAGTAACGACAACGACACAGTACCGTGTCACCTTCTACACCGTATTGTACAGTAACGACAAAACAGTACCGTGTCACCTTCTATACCATACTATACAGTAACGACAAAACAGTACCGTGTCACCTTCTATACCATACTGTACAGTAACGACAACGACACATTACCGTGTCACCTTCTACACCATACTGTACAGTAACGACAACGACACAGTACAGTGTTACCTTGTCCCAGTACTGTACAGTAACGAAATATCGGTATGTTTTCAACATCGGATGAAAAATAGCAGTGAAAGCTTTAGCTATTTAATGTTTTGGTTGCACCTATGTTACAAATCTTGTATTTGTATTTTATTACAAGGGTATCAATCACAGTCTTCATCCTTAAGTTTTTCTTATAAAAATAAATCCATCACATTCACACTCGGATCCACTACTCCTCCTATGGAAATTGTAGGCATCCTTACGCCTTATAAATAAACATACAATATTTAATTTGTGAGAATTCTATATAGATCTAGTTAGATTGAATTAAAAATATAAGCCTGCCTGTGACTGAACCAAAGCAGATTTGTTTTAGTGGAAGAATGTGAAACATTTGTACATATTTTAAAATTGACAAGAAGTAAGCCAAACAAAACAAAATCTATGATCGAGTCAGTGACTGAAATTTGGATCCCCAGAGTGCTATATTTAAACAATATAAATTCATATTGGCATGGGGAATTTTTTTGATATTTTGATGGTAACAACAGTTCTACAAGTCATTGGAAAGGACTAGAAAAAGTTATAAAACAGACAGAAATTTGCTAACTTGTGCATAATATCCTTTCTTTTTATTTCTTTAGATTAATATCTGTTATACCGTAGAGTTTAAACGGAAGTGACGACATTTGAACATGACACTTCGATGAATTTACCTGACAGATAAAGCCTTTTATTCCTCTGCGTAGGATACAACGTGCATTGATGTCACATTCGGAAACTCCATCTGGACACTGTGTGCCTATTTTACGACATCCGAACGTCTGATTGCCAACGTAACCATCCACACAATCACCACATACAAAGCTTCCCTGGAAACAAAATTTTAAGATTAGAACCTCGACGAACAGGCATTTTGATTAACACATTTTGTAAGAGCAGCTGGCTTCCACTAACAGGAATAACGAAAAAATAATTCTTAGCCACCGATCCAATCTGAAGAGTTGACATTTCCAAAACCAAATATCATTGACATTGGCAGACATACTATAAATTTATTGTGTATATTGAAAAAGTTGTGCTCAGTAAACGACGAACTGGGAGAACATGGAGAACATATAAGGTATTTCAGCTTTAAGGGGAGATAACTCCTATTGATTTAAATTCACTTTTCCGGAATTTCGGTATCGGTGTTGTAAACGTTTTTTTCATTTACGTAAAAAAAGATGAAGAAGACGCTGCATTCTGTGTATTCTGCCGGACATCAGATTTACCTCTCCACTAGCACCCTACCCTTGACTTATTCCCCCCCGCCCCACATCACAACTTTGTCAATTGTAATATTCTGGAGCAATTCATTTGCGCTTGATATACTTACCACAGTGTTGACACAAACAGAATTTTGTGCACACCCACCGGATAACTCGTCAAGGGTCACACATTCATCAATATCCTCACACACCTGTCAATTAAGTACAGTGATGTCAATTTCAATTCGAACCATGACTACATATATCATAGCTTTAATGTAGGATTTGGTTTTACGCGGAACTGACATCCGAATACCTGTTACGTTTCCCCTTAAACGGAACTGGGAACCAGATCCATTTTTCTCTTTATTTGTCTATGTATTTGACCACATCTAAAAAATCATTGAACATTTTGAATTTGCTTGAGAAATGAAAATTGTATTAGTTAATTAAAATTGATTTAGTTTACAACAATTGCGTAACAATTTTTCCAACATATATTTATCACCCTTCTTGGCCCGAAGGCTCTTACTTTGGGAGGGACCGGGGTACCCGGGGAAAACTCACGTGGTATGACAGATTATTTCATATTTTTTACGTCAGTTTTGGAATTCGAACCCCGGACGTCGAGATAAAATGCGAATACTTAAGCACTGCGACTCCCGAACACACATGTTCATGGTAAACTGCGTCCCTCTTAAGACAGGGTCGAAGGTAGGTCTAATTCCCTTCTTCCGTGTGACATTTTGTCGGATTTACTCACCTGGGTCTGATTTAGTGCCATTTCTACGCCGAAACCCCCGACATCATTCCCAATGTAACCTGGTGGACATTCAGAACACTCGAAGCCAGGGACCGTGTCAATGCATTCAGTTATATCTGAACACGGATTATGGTGTTCACACTGTAAAGAAGACACAGGTATCGATATGATATTTCAGTTTCCTATGAGTTATTCCCCTTTTGTATAAATTGATAAATTGACCCAAATTTTCATTCGCAAAAACTAAAGGGGAAAACCAAGTGAGTAAAACCTGAATCATAGGTCTATTTTTAACTCGAACTAACCAAGTGCTGTGTACATCATGGACTGAGGTTCAGAGGAACATGACAGCCAGGGTTTTGTAACGTTGTGCGTAATTTTACTGAAATAAATAATAAGTAAATCATCGCCCCAAAAAGCTGCAAGGTCAGCACCACGGGAAATACAAATCATTTTATCTTGTTATGCAAATTGTTTTTTTCACAACCGTCTCTACTGAAAGTTGTGCATATCATTTTAGAGTTTTACAAAAAGCAGATCAGTTCACGAACCTCATTCACGTTTGTGCAAACCGTTCCGTTGCCCTGGAAACCAATTGGACAGTTTTCGCATAGGAATCCCTCTTCGGTATCGGTGCACGGGACCCCTGGGAAACAAGGATCAACGTCACATCCAATTCTCATTATCAGACATCCGCCCCTCAAACCGTCTCCTGTCATACCTGGTGGACAGGGAGCACAGCTGAACCCTTCGAGGGTGTCGGTACACTCTACTCCATCAAAACACGGATTGGTTTCACATCCTATCCTGACCACGTGACAATTTCCCTTCCGTCCGTCACCAGTCATACCAGGTGGACAGGAGTGACATCGGAACCCCTCGCGTGTGTCTGTGCACGGCACTCCACGGAAACAAGGTTTTGTTTCACAACCAATTCTGATAACGCGGCAGCTACCTCTCCGACCGTCTCCAGTCATTCCCGGGGGACATGGGCCACATTTATATCCAGCCCGTGTATCTTCACATGCAACCCCTATCAAAAGAATTTTCGCTGGTTTTGCTATTATTACAAATAAATGCTTTCCAGTACTACAATATTGTCTTTTTACTTAAATCAAACTGTTATCAGGCTGCTCGATTCAATACAAGGTCTTCACCACCGGAAGTTATCACAAACCAAGTTCTTTATCTTAAATGAAGCCACTTTGTCACCCAAAATATACACTTTTCACAAAATGTAATAGGAATGCGTTATGAAAATTGTCTTCCCCACCGTTGACTGGGACTTCACGCTCTCTATAGACCGACACCCAAGAATAAAATGGAAATTCCGAAAGGATATAGCTACAATGCCGACAAATATTTCCAATTTATCATCTTATTTTAACGTAAGTTTAAAAAAAACAGTTCATTAGAAAATCAAAGGATAATTTGTCAAATTTCCAGTCTATGTGTCGTACTGTATATTGACTTAATCATGTTCTACTTTGCATTACATAAGCAACTTTGGCCAATAGCTATATCCCTTCTTAAAACAGCATTGCTTCTATGTTTTGAAATAATGATTGAATTGTATTAAAACAGTAAAAACGTTTTCGAACTTGCCTTCGAAACAAGGCTTGATGGCGCAGGTAGGCGGAAGTTCACACCGCACACCATTCCCAAGATACCCTCTTGGACAAGCACCGCAACGGAAGCCACGTGATGAATCTACACATCGTACGCCTCGGAAACAAGGGTTTAATGCGCATGTTCGTTCTGGTGGAAGCGGAATTTCTCTACCTGGAAATAAATACAATTATACAACAAATGAACTTCAGTCAAGAAAGGACAGCTCCGATTGATGAATTCACGTTTGTCCACGAGAACTGGTACGAGAACCGGTAATTAATCCGTGTTTGTGATTTAATATTAAAAAGTTCTACCATTCAAGATGTATCACATTTACGGAAAGAAAAGCTTACGTCTGTCCTGTTCCGACATTACTGTGGTGGGACTACGACACATGTGACATTGGCGCAGGGTCTCTCGTAGATGGCGGGTCTCTCTCGTCTGTGTACATGTAAAACACTCTTTCCATGTGAGATATGTCAATAAATTGCAAGTTGGTTGAAAACAAGCAAACAAACAAACCAATTAAAATACAATGTATGTCACTGTACATTAAAAAGAGGGTTGAATTTTTTGGATATGTTGAAACTGCAATGATACATAGATATGGCTACGATTTGATTGGTTGATCAATTTGTACATGTTATCCAGTACCTGCATTTGAATCTCCCTCTGGAGTTGGCGGACTGAATAACTTAAGTCCCGCATGGTAGTCGCCAAAGACTGAAACTGATGGTAATCTGTCGAAATAACAGCAAATACAAAAAAAAACCCAGAAAATTACAAAAAACAAACAAACAAACAAAATGGAGATAAAAGACGACTATAAACCAAGAAGTGTGAACCATTACCAAATTCTGACCAGAGACGACATCATTCTTAATAATCTTCGTTTTTAACATTTTACAGTTCACATTTGATTTCTCACACGAACACAGATGAAATGAGTCGATATGTATGTACATTTATATCAATTAACCTCTAGCTGATAATGAGACTGGTGTTAATTCAGTCTTTTTGTAATAAGAACAAAGAAAAAAGCCAAATGTATATTATTAATCTATTTATAACCTGGCTGCGGAACTGCCACCGGAACTTCGTTATATCTGGTCCGATCACGTGTCAGTCGGTCGCCATCATTGTCATAGCTGACAGGTGGGGGGCGTAGTGGGACTTCGTTTGGAATGTTGTTCGTGACCGTGTGTGTAGGTAAGGCGAGTGTCCGATCTGGCTCGACGTCACAGCCCTGGTTGTCAAAAACGGCCTCAACAGATGGGCTTGTGTAGAGGTTAAAAGCGTCGTCTTTTGTCTACAAATCGATTTACAAATTTTATTTAAGCTTTGATAGGAATATATGTTTTTGTTTAATTTCATGCTGGTATAACAGAAAACCCTTTTGCAAACTGGATGAATGTGCATAGCGCACATTCATGATAAGTTTGCAAAAACAGGTATTCCATTCTATGTTTTAACATAAACTGCAACAGACCCGCCGCAAGGTGGCGTGTTGCCATTGACCCGTCCAATCATTATCAAGTAGGCGGATCTGGATATTCTTTGTGTAAAGAAAAATGGGGAACAAATCGAATTAGGAAGCGGCATTTGTGTACAAACAACGAAAAAATAATTATACAAATTCAAAGGAGGAAATAATATCAAATTCATGTCTTCTCTTATTGAAGTTGTCTAAATGAACGCCCCATCCCTTCTCCCCTCACACTTTATATAAACATCTTCTACATGTCAGAATGTGGAGAATATTCATGAAGAAAGCATCTAGATAACTTTTTTTTAGAGAGAACTGATTTCGTTTATGACAAAAATTCACAAAGCTGGAGACAGCTCTGTGAGGATGACCTCGTACAGACACCAGGAATAAGAACATACTCTACCAACCACTAACAATGTGTCTATTGAATGGAACTTTAACTGGGCTATGGATGCCGCAAGTCACATAAGGAGAGATAGAGAGATTGGGCGTTGAGTACTGTTTTTTATCATTTTTTCCCCCATCTGCGATATATTTTTAGTGACCAATTAGTAAAAAACAATTGAAATCATATTTGAACATATTGAAAATAACTGTATTATGGACAATAGTGATCATTTCCTTGTCATGTAGTTTCACTTGTTTGTAGTATTTCTATAGCATGCCCTGTCAGTTTTATACGTAACTTTGGTCAGTCGATTGCATGCCATTGTATTTGAATGCTGATTTTAACATTTTGGCGCTAACTTTTTACTTAAGCCTACGCCATTCAGAGCTTCTTGAGTAAAATGTTTAATTTGCCGTCGATAGTAGATCTGTTTAACGCACTTCACCACTAAATAATGTTACGGTTTTATTCATCTTGACGCAAAATTCACCTCTTAGAGTCAGCTTTTTTCATTAAACATTAACGTGATATAAACCAGAAGAGCCATGTTCCTGCTTACGCCCTCCTGGAATCGAACCAAGGTCACCAGCGTGATAATCAAGGCCCCAACTTGCTCAGCCAAAGTAGCATGTTCCGTTAGGTGAATGACTGAGACCGAATTTTATATGATTTTCACGCCACGTGAACTTGCTCCTTTTACAAATACATATATAGCACTGTTGTCCATTCAGGCAAAAAACAAAACTAAACAAACTTTTGAGACAAACTTACGATGGTAGGTTCTCCAAGCAGTCCTTCCCTTAATGGAACTTCTGTATTGTCTCGCGCGATAGGTTCACAGTTGATATAAAGTGCTATACCATTTGATGTAGACCCCAATTTGCTCAGATGTATAATTAACCGGAAGGCATCAAGTTGTTGTAATTCTCGAACCGGAAACGTTAACTTATAAGTCCGACCGTCTCTGGAGCGCATTCGAATGACCACTGCGTGGAGTAAAAAAAATGTTACTAGAATAAACAATATATAGTGCACTTTTCAATAGCTGTCTTTCGATTTATGATCCCAAATTGCTCACAAGTGTTAACCATTCCGGTCACGTGATTATCGAAGGTTTTGTTAGCCCCAATCATTTCCGGTTTGTGGAATCGATCGTTTGAAGCGAGGAAATTCAGAATGTAGGTGTATTATCTTGAATAATAATGTGACGACGAAATGAAGAGATATTATAGATGTTATATCTTCATAAGTGTTCAACAGTGCTTAAGGACTGACTCTTGTTTGTTAATTTGCAAAAATACATAAACACAGTATAAAAAATATTATTATAGATCAAGGACTCAAAACATCTAAATTTGCACCTTACAGTATTGTTCAGAAGTTAATACCTCGAAGTTAGTGTCTATTTCATATTACGTAAGCATTGCTTTCAGATGGCTTTATAGAACAAACTGACACTGGGTTTGATATGTCACAATACAATCACTTTCGGTGTATGAGAAATTCTAACCGAAAACCGGAAGTAGGTAAGACTTACACAAAATTTCCGGTGGTAGAAACTAATCAGAAAAACAGAAAAAAGCGGATATGACTTATTCGAAAGACAGACAATGAAAACAAATTTTAAATCAAAAGAACATTAATTATATTTGATGATGAAATATTCAAAATTTACTGAATTGAGAAAGAAGGGGAAATGAATAAACAATATCGTAAATGTCTTTGATCTTTCACTCCAAACACTGTAATTAACAGAAACAGTTATTCGACAGTATACCTGTTTCCAATCTGAATCTCGAGGGCATGAGATAATGTACATTTTACGTAAAAAGACCATATACTAAATGATAAAACACCAATACATGTGTGTTTTGTTCACTTTCAATTAAACTGACCTTCGTTTGAAATGAAGTTGACGTAAACGACCAGATTTGTACCGAGCTGACTGTTTTCCGCCCGGAAAATCCCGAACAATCCATCTTGACTCTTCACTATTCCGGACAAATACAAGTCAGAGTTAAGAATAAAGGCTGGACCGGTGTTCTCGTCCGTCACTGAAACAGGAAGTAGCGCGTCATACTGATGGTCACCAAAACAGTCAAAGGGAAACAACTTTTTATAGAATTTGCGAAATACGATATGGCGGCTGTAGAAGACGTGCAAACGATATGTTTTTGATTCAAGGGTCTAATCTTGGGATTGTCTAACTTTGAACGTGCATGTGTGTGTTGTTTTTTACAGAAATAAAATAAAGACTTACTTACTTACAAAAACAAAGTTTCAAAGTTATGATAATTCAAGCAGAGAGTATTTTCGGCGTCCTTTTTGCATGCATCGGTGCCATCACACGGGTTTGGTAACGGTTCGATTACGAATTCCGTCCGTATCTAGCCTCTTACGGTGCCGTTAAAAACGCGTCTGGCATCCGATAAAATAGTTCATTAGTACCAAGTTCATCCTGACAATAGGAAGGCTTAACAAAACATCAAAAGGTGCCAAATTCAGGTTGGTGAACGATTTTGTAGAAAATATCTAAAAGACAAAATACACTTAATTAGTGCATCAATGCAATAGCTAATAGAATCCTTTCTGAGGACATGACGGGAGTGTATAATACGAGAATCTTTGCAGTTTCACTGGTTTTGCGACTGAACAGCTCATGTTATTTCCGGAGAAATCTCTAGCGGTTGTCTCACCGACGCACGTCAGTAATCTGGCGACGTAGGGCATGTACTCAAATGTGATGGCAATGATACATGAAGGTAAAAAGGAAAATTAATTATCAAAATTGATGCTACTTTAAGAGGACCAAGTGTCCATAAGTATTTTTATTATTATTATTATCTATTAGTCAGCAGTCGACAAGCACGTACAGCGCGTTCATTATGTAAATCTGATCGACCATTGAAGCGTACAGAGAAAGTTTTAAAAGTCTTGAGTTAAAGGACGACAGCTGTAGATTTTCTGTGTATATGTTGTACATTTTACTTCCTTTTACACATTTTCACTAAATATTTTTTCTTTCTCGCTCTCTTTTCCTTGAATGGGATTTAAATGTTATACATACAGTTAAAAACAAAAGAAATAAAATTAGAAAAGGTAAAAAAATATTGAAGTGGAAGGTAGATTCGAACGGGAATATGAAACTACACCACAAACCATCGAACTAAAATTTAAAACGTATTATAAAGATTTTAGAAAATGCATTAGAAGTAATATAAAGCTTTTGTTTGTACAGGAAATGATGTTTATGTACAACCACTTCTAAAAAGCATGATATATGTTAGTACAAAGAGAAGATATGACATACAAACACACAAGGACATGCGAATTATTTACCTGAAAGTCTAGATGTAAGGTTACAGGACTCGTGGTTTTGATATCAACATTTGGTCAACATTACGCGTTCAACGAGTGTGATTTTTACTGAAATATTGATCTAACCTTACAAGACATGTGATGAAACAGATTCAGTTAAAACCGATACTGTAATTAATTTTCATGTCCCAAAGTTATAAATAATAAGAACAAGAAAATACCAGCATGTGAACATAATCATAATCCAATCTCAAATTCAATAAAACTAGGGGAAAATATGATCAAAGCAAATATTTACGTGAAGAATCCTGAAAAAGTACAAGGATAATGGACAAGGTGTTCTAGAAGAGTAAGCGTCTTCTGCTTCGCCGACAACACCCGCCACTTAAACCTTTGTCAATCCAAGTGAGTGATGTTAATCAGCAACGGAACCAACATATACAAATGCTAGTCATTTTATTTCATATATGTTTTTCAATTGATGATCTGACATGAATGACTCCATCTATTTTACATCCTTTCAACCTTTAGAGTAGACACGGGTGTAAATTTCCATGCACATATATCGTACCATTCATTTTTCACGAAATGTAAGTCCTTCAAATCAATGCAACTATAAAACCAAAAAGGTTTGACTTAAATTGATGTTTTTTTTCATACCATTTTTACACTTGCGGTTTGACTAATTTTTTGGATATACCATATTGCTCAACATTATAGATTATGAGAAAGTGCGGTTTTATAAATCAAGGTTTTTACGACGATCTTTATAAGCTGACTTCTCGTCTCTTAGATTGTTTCTGATGTTATTTTTGAACGTGTTTATAATTCGTTTAATCTTAAGTCTGAACTGTAAACACGCCGTTGCTTTCTCCTTTACATTCAACATCTTGATACACTTATAACCCTGGGAATTCCACTGGAGCTGAATTGCTACCTAAACGGTTACATTTAAGTCCTATTACAAAACCTTATCATATCGAATGCAAAAAAGTCCTAATCTGATACGTAAAGCATTGCCTCATAGACATACCCTTTTAAGAAAAAAAATTAAAGTTATGCTTTTAGATTATGAAACTGGACGGATTTATTGATTGTAACATATTTTAAAAGCACATTTTTTTCTTCAAAAAACAATAATAAACTTCAAAAGAATCGCAAAACACAAACGAGAACGCAATTCGGCACTCTTCCTTTCGTCTTGCTAAAGCTGACAAATCATAGCACTTTTGCGTGCAGTTTAAAAAAAAATATCAGCTTATTGAAATGTTAATGGTTTTTAATGTTTAAATAAGATATTGACTTTAATTTTGTTCCTGTATACGATAACATTGAAACCCGTCCTAGTGGGTATTTGTTCGTGTTTGCAATGGATAAGAATGATTGAAATTGAATGACAAATCTAGCTTAACGTGTGTGTTTGTTTTCCGTTAAGATGACAAGTTTGGCCCAAACTGACCTCTACTCTATCGTGGACATTTTGAGGCGGCACCGAGGCATGAGATACATTTCAGGAGCAACATGCGTCCTGTATCGTAGTTACATGCATGTCTGGATAAGTTTAAAGGTCAGTCTGATCAAGCACGTGCACATAATGTTTTTCGTTACAAACACAAGAACAACAATATCTCCCCCATGTGTACCAGCTGTTTCCATATCAGCGGTACAGAAACATCATACCCGTGTCAAGGAGGGCATTGTCTGTTCTGACGACTACATTTGGTGACCTTTGACCTCAATTTAGAACCGCGGGGTCATTCACGGTCAAACTGTAGAATCCTTGTAAAAAGGGAGACACGATAGACGAAAGTTTCAGAAATCATTAACCAGAGAGTCCCACAAACAACGCATTAGCTTCCAAACAAAGAGTTTGAGGGGGAACAGTAGAAACCGATTTTTCACAAATCACTTTGTTGTTAAGGAATGCATGTTTGGTAAGCCATTTCAACTTTTTCACAAAGAAAAGTATAAGAAAAACATAGCGAACCTGTCAGTAGCAAGGACTATATACCAGTTTTTACTGTTGCCTGTCAAATCCCGCCTTGGTTTATATGTTAAATTTAGATTACAAATCTAGTATATCACTTCCCAATTATTCCATTTTTCATTATTCTGGTATCATTGATTTTTTCAAAATCTTTAAGTTATTTAATTCAACCTGTCTTTACACGACCAATTTAGGCCTATGATACAGTGAAAAACAGTTTTTAAAATGCAGTTAAGAAGCACCACATGATAATTATAATTTGAAATAATTTCAAAAACTTTAGCTCGTAGGTTAAAAAAAGTCATCTCCCAAGCAATACATAGCGATGATATGAGAATATCTTGAGCGGATTTAGGCAATAGAAACACACAATATTGAAAATCAAAGAATTAATCAGCCGTATTTTTATAACGTTTTTCAGCAACTTGCTGATGATATTAATTGTTCGTTTCCTTTTACATAAAGGTACACACACATAAATAAAAAAAACAAAACAAACAAAACAAAAAAAAAAAAAAAACCAACACATGAATATCATATAGCTATCATGTAGTCACGTTTGTGGAATGTGACATATGGTTTACCTACCTTGGCGAACTTGCGCAAAAACTGAGATGACAAATCCAAGGAAAAAACACTGCAGGAGGACGAAACCCGTCATATTTGTGGCAATTTCTCACGGAAAACAGCACCCTCTTCAGCAGAATGGCGGGGGCGTTTCCTTAATCTAGCTTCAGACGTATCACAAAAACTGATTTCTCTTTTGATGAAAGCAATTCATATACACTTTTAAAGTGTAGCATGCTGTGAAAGCGACTTGCTAAAACTACGTGAAACATTTAACGGGTAACCTTATCCGTCAGTCTAAATGTATAGTCTATCATTATTTTACAAGCTACAATGTTTAGGTTAGTCGACACTGTATCAGTCGCTGGTGTTCTGAAGCTGTTGCTGCTGGTGTTCCAGAAATCTTGTTAGAAATGTCAGCTATGTTCCTGGCTATCATACATTTTTGTTTGTCACAATACTTGGGGTGAACGATTTATGGGTAATTATCTGTAGTGCTGTGTTACTTATATGATGTTATCCTCGCTACCAGAAACAAGAACGATAACTCTGTACAATACTGCGACTGTTGTATACAACTGTATAAATGCATGTGTATGTTTATAATGTAATCAGCGCTTAACGTAAAATGAACATTTGCAAAAACGAAACAAAATGAATGAACAAATAAATAAAATAAGTTGATAATGTGTTTTTTTAACATCTGTGGACACTCACCTGATTTTTTTGACAATCGTAGCTTAATACTCTACTTATTGTACTTCGTGGTTTGGGACATATGCAATTTTGGGATAAAACACCTAATTATTTTACAGTAATTAATTTTTTGTGCGCGTGTGCTTAAAATGTTGTAGAATAATGGTGAAGATGGAATGGGTAACATAGTCAAAACAAGGAAAATGAGAGAAATTATGGATAACATGGTTACGGTAGAGCATAGTTAGGGGTAACATGGTTACAGTAGAGCATAGATAGGGCTAACATGGTCACATCAGAGCATATTGAGGGGTGACATGGTTTAACAGGGCGTAGTTGGGGATCGCATGGTTATGTTTGAGAATAGTTAGAGATAATCTGGTATTTGTAGGGGATTGATAGTGATACCATAGTAAAGGCAGAGAATAGTAAGGTTATAGTAGGGCATAATTAAGGATAACATTTTGAGCTCACCTGGCCCGAAGAGTCAAGTCCGTTGTCCGTCTTGGCGTCGTCCTTTTGTCAACTTTATCTACAAATCTATCTTCAACAACGAGACACAGCGAAAACACCCAAACGCATCATCTATACACAGTGATAACATCCAACTTGATCAACCACACACAGTTATAACACCCAAACTCATCCAACTCACACAGTGATAACACCCAACCCAACTCACACAGTGATAACACCCAACCCCATCCAACTCACACAGTGATAACACCCAACCCCATCCACCACACACAGTGCTAACACCCAACCCCATCCACCACACACAGTGATAACACTCAACCTCATCCACCACACACAGTGATAACACCCAACCCCATCCAACACACAGTGATAACACCTAACCCCATCCACCACACACAGTGATAACACCCAACCCCATCCACCACACTCAGTGATAACACTCAACCTCATCCACCACACAGAGTGATAACACCCAACCCCATCCAACACACAGTGATAACTCCCAACCCCATCCACCACATACAGTGATAACACCCAACCCCATCCAACACACACAGTGATAACACCCGACCCCATCCAACACACACAGTGATAACACTCCACCCCATCCAACACACCGTGATAACACTCAACCCCATCCACTACACACAGTGATAACACCCAACCCCATCCAACACACAGTGATAACATCCAACCCCATCCAACACACACAGTGATAACACTCCACCCAATCCAACACACCGTGATAACACTCAACCCCATCCACTACACACAGTGATAACACCCAACCCCATCCAACACACACAGTGATAACACCCAACCCCGTCCACCACACACAGTGATAACACCCAACCCCATCCAACACACACAGTGATAATACCCAACCCCATCCAACACACACAGTGATAACACCCAACCCAATCCAAGACCCAGTGATAACACCAAACCCCATCCACCACACATAGTTATAAAACCCAACCCCATCCACCACACATAGTTATAACATCCAACCCCATCCACCACACACAGTTATAACACCCAACCCTATCCACCACACACAGTTATAACACCCAACCCCATCCACCACACACAGTGATAACACCCAACCCCATCCACCGTACACAGTGATATCACTCAACCCAATCCAACACACACAGTGATAACACCCAACACCATCCACCAAACACAGTGATAACACCCAACCCCATCCACCACACACAGTTATAACACCCAACCCTATCCACCACACACAGTTATAACACCCAACCCCATCCACCACACACAGTGATAACACCCAACCCCATCCACCGCACAGTGATATCACTCAACCCAATCCAACACACACAGTGATAACACCCAACACCATCCACCAAACACAGTGATAACACCTAACCCCATCCACCACACACAGTTATAACACCCAACCCAATCCAACACACAGTGATAACACCCAACCCTATCCACCACACATAGTGATAACGCTCAACCTCATCCACCACACACAGTGATAACACCATACCCCATCCAACACACACAGTGCTAACACCCAACCCCATCCACCACACACAGTGATAACATCCAACCCCATCAACCACACACAGTGATAACACCCAACCCCATCCAACATACACAGTGATAACACCAAACCCCATCCACCGCACAGTGATATCACTCAACCCAATCCAACACACACAGTGATAACACCCAACCTCATCCAACACACACAGTGATAACACCCAACACCATCCAACACACACAGTGATAACACCCAACCTCATCCAACACACACAGTGATAACACCCAACACCATCCACCACACACAGTTATAACACCCAACCCAATCCAACATACACAGTGATAACACCAAACCCCATCCACCGCACAGTGATATCACTCAACCCAATGATAACACCCAACCTCATCCAACACACACAGTGATAACACCCAACACCATCCACCACACACAGTTATAACACCCAACCCCATCCAACACACAGTGATAACACCCAACCCTATCCACCGCACACAGTGATATCACTCAACCCAATCCAACACACACAGTGATAACACCCAACCTCATCCAACACACACAGTGATAACACCCAACACCATCCACCACACACAGTTATAACACCCAACCCCATCCAACACACAGTGATAACACCCAACACCATCCACCAAACACAGTGATAACACCCAACCCCATCCACCACACATAGTTATAACACCCAACCCAATCCAACACACACAGTGATAACACCCAACCTCATCCAACACACACAGTGAAAACACCCAACACCATCCAACATACACAGTGGTAACACCCAACCCCATCCACCACACAGTGATATCACCAAACCCCATCCACCACACACAGTGATAACATCCAACCCCATCCAACACACACAGTGATAACACCAAACCCCATCAACCACACACAGTGATAACACCCAACCCCATCAACCATACACAGTGATAACACCCGACCCCATCAACCATACACAGGGATAACACCCAACCCCATCAACCATACACAGTGATAACACTCAACCCCATCAACCATACACAGGGATAACACCCGACCCCATCAACCATACACAGTGATAACACCCAAACATTGAAAACACGAATCTTCATCAATTATATATTGAAAACACCCAATCACATGACTAGATATGCACCTGGTATGACAACCGGTTTTTGTAGTTACATTTTATTCTTTCAAAATATCGTCATCAAAATAGGATCGATTGTGACCGGTACGTATGATACCACGTGCTCTATAGGTTAATTATTTTAAATGGTACAGTGGTAATTCTAGCATTTTATTTCAGATCGTTAATGCCGTTGGGATGAGAAGATTTGTAGAAAGACACACAAGTAAATAACACCTTTAAATTTCGTTTATTTAAATATATCTATTGTCAAAATAAGAGAAATGTATTGGAGACCAAGATTTGGACTCTTTCCCTGACTACATCAAAATACATCTACATCACGTGATATACAAATACTGTTAACATGCATCTCTACACATACAAATATGATTAAACATTAAGTTTATAACATAGTAGATTTATTTTGATTGAATAAGACAGATGGGATGGGGCAATGAAACGTGGGACAGAAGAGGAAATAGGTAATTTAGTTAATGTATTTGAACCTTCAGCTTTCCTTTTCAGTTAGAACTAGTAGATCGTCATATTTATTCCTTACTCGAAAGATTTCTTCTTCTTCTTCTTCTTTTTCTTCTTCTTCTTCGATCACGAGATGAGGTATGATGTATATTCCTCGAGCATGTGAAATGCGGGCAGTCCAATAGTGAAGACAGTAGAAGAAGGGAGATAACTCGAGCTGCCCTGCCTATTCTCTACCACTGGGAACATCGTACAAAGTAGTTTTGTCACTATTCTATCGGTATCTAGTCATCTAGTCACATTTTAGACTGATAAGTAAAATTACCTCATACAACAAAAGTTCCAACAAAAATATATATAAAAAAACAGAACAGATATATGTTGAAATATTTTGTAAACTGGCAAACGTGTGACTAATATATAAATCATTACGCCATACAATGTAGATGTACCTGTTTATTGTACATGCAGAGGCTGGTATTTCACTTGGTTTTATAAATCATTAATCATAAACCAAACTGAAACCAGGCACCCATCCCCACATGTGGAGAAAACCGCACCCCATCTTACCTCAGTTACATTTGTTGAATACATGCGCTTATCATTACAGATGTCAATGCCATAGATTGGTCAGGGTCGCTCTCTTCGCGAGTAAGTCGGGAGTGATCAGTGACTCAGTGACACTCCTTGTGTCGACCACCTTGCACGAGACATACATTCCTCTGTTTTTGTAACATTTTACTCACATCGTGTGATTTGATAATCCTATCTTCGAAATAAGTGTATAAAAC